GGGTGAGACAGGAAAGGTCTGCTGCCCCATGTGGGTCAGCTCCCAGGGATCGAACTTGTGCTGCAGTGGCTGCGGATAGCTTCATAGTGCTGAGACTTAACCCTTTGCACCATCAGGGAGGCCCTGCATTTCTAATTTTTGAGTAATAAATTGAAAATGTTTTTATGCCCACTTAGTCTGTTGACATTATTATTTTTTTTTTTATAGAGGCATGTTTTTTTATTTTATCTGTTTGTTTGTTTTTGTTTATACATGCACTGGGCACAGTCAGAAGCGCAGGAGGGCGAGAGAACCCACCAGAGCCAGAGCAGGGAGCAGAGCAGGCAGAAGGACCGAAGTACACTGCTGAGGGGAGCAGCGGGCGGCAGGAGAGGTCTGCACGCCATGTGGGACCCTCCTCCAGCGGCCGGGGAGCAGCCGGGGATCGAACCGGCGCCGCAGAGGCCACGGGCAGCCCCGCAACCCAGCACTCAACCGCTGCGCCATCGGGGAGGCCCTGTTGACATTATTTTAGTGAATTTACACCATCCAGTTGCAAAATCCTCTTTCTTCATTTTAATTGAAAAGTTCATATCATTTAAAAATAAGTTAAGAATCTAAAATTGATAGTTTTGTTTTTCCCTAACCACATTTTTAAAATGGATACCAATCACCAAATACATACCTGTTCCACATAGGAAAGGGAAAAAAAACGCTAAACATGATATTACTCCTACAATAGTAGATTTAAATATGACTCCATAAACTTAGGTTTATGCTCGATTATGTTTTAATTGAAATCAAATGTTCCTCTTAGACTCCATTTTGCTTGACTGGTGGGAAATTCAATCTGAGTCCTTACTGGACTCTCTAGAGCCTCTGTAGACTCAGACAAGACTCTGAGATGTGTACAGAGACAGGAGAGGGGCCTTCAGTCTTTAGCCCACATAATCACTAGAAGGGAGCAGATCCCAGCACCTGTGGAAGGTGAGGCTCTTGCAGTCTGTGCCCAAGTTCTATTTCTTCCTCGCAGAACTCCCCCCAAGGAGCTCTAGATTTGAGGAAAACAGCCAGGAAGGCAGTCTGTCTAACAGCACCTTAAATTTCACAGCCCTCGATCACTATTCTTACTCATAAATGGTGAATGTTATTGAGCAGTCATTACTCTCTGCTTATGTATGTGGGTGAACAGGTAATTCTCACAACTTTGCCATATTTTAAAGACCAACAATGGGGGATTAACGCATTGGAGTAACTTTCCAGTAATAAATGGCAAGTCTGGGATTAGAACCCAAGGCTGTTGGACTCCAACATTCAACCCCTGTGGGCTATTTTCTCTTCTGCTGGGGAGCAGTAGCATTTCCTCTTGAGCACAGTAAGCCCCATGATAAATTAGCCACAGCATCAGCTCCCAGTGAGTATAGTGAATTCATCCATGGAACACCGTGCCTCAGACTTTTCTATCTGGTTGTCAAGTGCATTTGCCAAGACCCAAGAACCACAGTGCTGCTGTGGGTGTAATTAATGTTTAGACAATAACTGGTCAGCACGTTCAGCTGCTTCTTGAGGTCACTCCTGGGATATGAAAATAGGACCCTGTATTGGCAATAAACCGGATGTTTGTTTTCTTTGCGCTCTCTCAGGAGGCCATTATCTCAGCCATCTAGAAGTTATACCATATTGCTCCAATGTGGCTCCAACAGGGGGAAGGTTAGCCTAGTTTTGTGTTGTTTACAATAGAAGATTGACAGATCTGAAATCCATTTTTGCTCAATATGATTCTTGGTGATATTTTAATTGTCATAGAGAATATTTTAAAAGTCTCAGACCAGATTTTTAAATTTTATGACTTGGCCCATGAATAATTCCTATTTATGGAATCAAAAGCCAATGTAATCAGTGAGTCTATATACCACATAGTCGTAAGGCCCTACTACCTGCCTCCCTCCCCCAGCTGGGCATGATGGGTGATTCAAAAACAGGCTCTTTCCTCTCGAGATGCTCATAATATGCTTCAGGGGTTTTTGAATGTTGTACATATCAGAGTCATTCTTGAAACTTGTCAAAAATAGAGCTGCCTGGGCCCCACTCCAGATCCACTGTCTTAGCTGAGTCTGTTTGGGTTGCTATAATAAGATAACACAGACTGGGTAGCTTAAAAATAACAGACATTTATTTCTCATCATTGTAAAGGCTAGGAGTCCAAGATCAAGGTGCCAGCATGGTTCCCTTCTGGTAAGAGCTCTCTTCTTGGTTCATAGCTGGCATCTTCTTGCTATTTCCTTAATGGCAGAAAGGATTTAGGGAGCTCTCTGGATCCTGTTTTATAAGGGCACTAATCCTATTCATAAGGACTCCAACCTCATGGCCTAAGCACCTCTCAAAGGGGGTTAGGATTTCAACATATGAATTTGGGGAGAGGGGACACGTTCTGATAATAATTCCCACTGAATCAAAATATAGAGGAATGAACCCTGAGCATTTTCATATCAGACAAGCTCCTTAGGTGATTCTGATACTCGGCAAAGTTTCCAAGCCAGCCAGGTAGTTGGTGGTGTTTTGGTAACAACCCTACAATATTTTCTATATTGTATCATAGTCTATATATGTTAATGGAGCATCTCAGTAAGCATGGGACAAACATAGGCATATACACATGTATATCTAGAGACACACTGGTCTCCTATTTGCATGTATGTTGTTGAAATGTACCTGCAGTTAAATCTACATTTATTATTTTAAATCACATAAGCATTTATTGAGCATCTGTATGTAGCAGTGTTAATCCAGGCAACCAATACTTAAGAGTTCGCCCTAGGCCAGTTCTTTTCATGAGAAAATGAAATGGACAGAAGTCCCTATCCTCAAGGACCTTATATTTTTGTAGCACAACACCAACAAGAGAGAACATTGAATTAGCAACGATAAGACCACCTTCTGCTTCTGCGCAGTGGCTAGAAGCCAGGTGGGGAGGGAGTAGGGGCTGCCAGTGTTGGGAGCCGGGTGGCACCTTAGAATAGAGTGGCTGGGGAAGCCTTCAGGGAGGAAAGCGGAAGTGAGCGTTATGGATATTGGGAGCACAACCATACCAGATTTGGGGAACAGGAAGTGCAAAGCCCTGACCTGAGGAAGAGCATTCCTGGAGGCTTCAGCAAGCAGCAAGGTGGCCTGGGGCTGCGAGACAATAGTCTGGGTCATCAGAGAAGTTAAGAATGGGCTCGGGCATGGACCTTGTAGCCTCCTGCCTGTGGACTGCTGGAGGACTTTGCTTTCACTCTGAGGGAGATGGAAAAGGTTCTGGGCCAGAATAACAACTCAACAGATTTTATTCTATTTTTTAATTTGGTTAGTCATTTGCCTCCTATCTATATAAGTGAGGGAGGAGGAGGGGATAGGGGAGGAAGGTCACAGGCCTGGGCGTTTTGGTGGAAGGTGAGAGAAATGTGTGCTCACATGAGGCATGAAAATGTACGATCCTTCAGGTTTTATTCTGCCAGTCACAGGCCATTGGGGATGGGCAAGGCTGGAATGGGAACCGGAAGGAGGTCACTGCAATAGTTCACGGACGAGATGGCGAATGGGCTGGCATGGAATGTGGTTTGTGGGTGTGCCCTGAAGGCAGAGTCAGCACTTCCGCTTATGCTTGACTGTGGACAGCAGGAAGGGCTGAGATACAGGAGCTTCTGCAAGGCAGCTTGGTGTGGTCATGGGCTGCACTTATTACTTTATGTGGGTCATGATTTGGTTCCCAGAAAATGATGGTAGTTCTGTTTTAAAAACATACTTGTACACTTAAAATTTGTGAATTTATTGTATGTGCATGTTACGTCAAAGAAACAAAACCCCATCCTAAGAAACAGGGTAATGTGAGCCACTGCAGTAAGACCCTCCCCACGATGTTGGTAAACAGGGGCTGTGCCCACGATATTCTTCCCGACACATAGGAAAGTTGCTTGGCCAACAAAAAATACATTCTTGCTAAGATGACAATATTTATTATTTCACTATTTTAAAGCACTTTGTGTAAATCCTCCAAAAGTTCTCTGTGAGTCTAATAGTGGAGGATGCTGCTTTCCCCACTTGAGAAGTCAGGACGTGACATATAGAAAGAATGGCGATAAGGGAAGGATGAACTCTGCTAGATCAGACCTTCTGGTTGTTTTTTTTGAAAACATCTTTTCTCTGATTTTTTTTTTTAAGATTTATTTATTTATTTATTTATACAAGCACTGGGTACAGTCAGAAGCACGGGAGGGTGAGAGAATTCACCAGAGAGCCGGGAGCAGAACAGGCAGACTGACGAAGTACACTGCTGAGGAGAGCAGCGGGCGGCAGGAGAGGTCTGTGTGCCATGTGGGACCCTCGCCCGGCGCTGCAGAGGCTGTGGGCAGCTTCACAACCCAGCGCTCAACCACTGCGCCATCGGGGAGGCCCCAGACCTTCTGTTTTTATGACTTTCTTCTCTTGATTGTGTGGCCTGATGTGTACTGACTGACCTCAGTCTCTGGCGCAGGGTCAGGGGGGTGAAGGGGGGGGGGAGAGAGAATGAATGAATGTGAATGCATGCACACTTGTGTTACTAACTGCAGTGATGTAGTAAAGGAATTGGAACTGATTATTTAAACCTTGTATAATTCAGACCCCTTGGTTCTTGTCCTCTTTGCCTTCTCTGTTCATTTGTCCATTTTTTTCCTGAAGAGTAATTTCACTAAAGGGTGGGCTAGAGAATTCAAAAGATGTGAGTCACATTAGGTAGCATGGAGAATAATTGTAATAAAAGCTGCAGTGAAGAATGCAGTTGTGATTAGTACGCAAATGAAATTTAGAATTGCTGGTGGATTTCGGCTTGCTTTGCTTTCCTCATCCTTTGTTCCTGGAAAAAAAAAACCTTGGGTTTAATTATGCCAAGTACTTTAGTGAGACTGAGCATCTTTTGTCTTGCTGAAGAAGCGGTGTCTCTGCTGGGTGGCATGACAAGGGCTGGGCCACCTGACAGCATTTAATGCATTCGCATGTTTCAGTTTGCAGTGATGACCTCACCCACAAATTCAAAGGTTTCACTGTGATGAATGAAGCTGAGCGATACGAAGCTCTCAGACACTGTCGCTATGTTGATGAAGTCATCAGGGATGCTCCGTGGACACTGACGCCAGAGTTTCTGGAAAAACACAAGGTATTTATTTTGTCACATTCTCTAAGTAGCAGAATTAGGGAGTCTGGTTGCATATCCTATTCCCAGACAGCCCAGACTCTTCCAGTAAGAGGGAAACTCCAGGCATGGCTATGTGGTTCACCTTCCGTAGCACCTCCCTGCTGCCCGGGCTGGGGACTGATCTCTCCCTACTTCAGTGTGGACTCTGAAGTGAGCCCACCATATCCAGGTGCATCCTGTATCCTTCCTAGCTGTGTGACCTTGAGTGAGACCGTGAACTCATTTACCAAATGGGGTGATAGTGATCCTTTTCTCATGGGGCTATTTTGAGGCTCTAATGAGCTCATCTAAACAAACCCCTTGGAATGTTGGCTGGCCCATAGCGACACTCCAAAACTGTCATTGTCATCACGATTGACATGATCGATCATGTCAATCATCTGTCATCATGACTGGGGCTTATAGATTCACAGGCATGAGTTTTCAGGGAACAAATGAACCCACCTCATATCCAGAAGGGCAGGATCAGCCTTTCAGGGAAAAACTTTGTGATTTTGTGGCCCTGAGACTCCTACTGATATAAGATTTTTATTAGTTAAAAACATGAGAAATTCTTTTGATCTGCATCAAATTATGTGCTTTGTATCTCCCTACCAGCCCCACATTAGGCGCTATTCTTTCCTTTTATAAGCAGTACAAAAAAATAAGATTAAGCTGTTCTAAGAGTTTTCTTTTCTATTTTTAAAATCACGATGCAGAAGAGAATAGAGAACACTGATAAATGTGCATGGGTAATAGCAGAGGAGACAATTTCCCAGTGAGAATAAAAAGAAAGAGGAAAAACTACAATATGATTTACTTCCAGCAATCACTAACACATTTTTACTAAGCATCTATTGTATATTCAACTTGTGCCAGGCATTATGGGGATACTAATGATGATAATGATGGCTGCCACTTAGTGGGTATTTACCATGTGCCCAGCACTGTGCTAAGTGCTTTGCTCTTATCAAAATCATATTCAATGCCATGGCTACCCCGAGAAGTTGTTAGTATTATTATTGGAGAGGCGGAGGGGTTAAGTTTGAGTACTAAGAATAGAATGAATAATAATGATAATGAACATTTATGGGAGGCTTACTTACTGTTACTATTATTTCTAAGCGCATAATTATACCATTGAATCCACTGGTTCTCAGGTTTGCTCCCAAGGGACATTTGGTAGTGTCTGGAAACATTTTTGGCTGTCACAATTCGAGGTGTGCTACTGGCATCTAGTGGGTAAAACTTAGGGGAGCTACTGAGCCTCCTACAGTGCACAGGACAGGCCCCCAAAGAATCACGCAGTTTAAAATATCACTAGTATTGACGTTGTGAAATCCCGATGTAACTCCTAATGCAGCTTGTTTCTGAGTTCTGTAGCTAGTGGGGGGTCAGTGGGCCTCACACCCAGGCAAACTGCTGCTCTACCTCTTGGGGTAGAGTGAAGCTTCATGATAAAGAACTTGAGAACTAGACAGCGAGTTTTTTGATGTAGTGAAGTATGAACTAGTGAAGATAAAAAGAAAACTGTGGGCTGAGTGACACCCCCCCCCCCAAGTGACAGAGGGATGGCTTGGAGCGGAGACCCTACAGTGAGAAAAGTCAGGTGCAAGTTGGTAGCAATCATTTAGACTACAGGGGCCCGTGTTTGGTGTCGCAAACATGTGCATGCTCACATGTCCACACACCACCCACACACGCCGCCCCCCCCCCAAAACCCCCACATCAATGGGGCTTGTGACAGTGTGCCATGGAGAGTGAAGAAAGAAGGGAAAGACTGATTCCATGATGTTTGGATCTCGGGAAACTGGGAGAATGGAGATGCCATGGAAGGTGGCAGCAGCTCTCAGGGTGAACTAACTTCAGACAAGTTCGTGTTACAGCAAGGGGTGGTGAAAGAGAAAAGGATGACTTTGGGGAAATCAGACACATTCCTCGGTTTCAGCACCCGTATTTGCCACTGAAGTAGTAATATGGGCCCCCACTGCCTCCCTAGGTGGTTATGAATATTGAAGACATGAACTCTGCAATATTAAATAAGACTTTAGTGTGAGGACCCGTAGCCATCAGTGGGACAGGAAATGGAGATTGGGGTTCCTCCTCATAGCAGGGGTGATTACGATCTGAAGAATGAATTCTCTGAGGGAGAAAGTTTAGAGGCAGAAGAGCAGAAGGGCAAGCAAATCTACCATCAGAGGTTAGAGGAAGAGGGACCAGCAAAGGAGAAAAACCATTCCAGCTTCCATTACGTTCTGGAAATGGAGACAGTCGGAAATACTTTTCAGTCAACAATTCAAATCCACGTATAAACAGCATGTTTCAACTGCTTTATTACCGCTGCTTTATTTAAAATTTATTTTTATTTATGCATACAAGAACTGGGATGTAGGCCAGAGTGCAGAGGGTGAGAGGATTCACCAGAGAGAGAGAAAGAGTAGGGGGCAAAAAGAGGCAGATCTACTGAAATACACTGCTGAGGGGAGCAGCGGGCGAGGCAGGAGAGGTCTGCTGCACCATGTGGGTTGCTCCCTGGTCAGCCAGGGATCGAACTTGTGCTGCAGAGGCTGCAGATTGCTTCATAGTGCAGTGCTTAACCCCTTGCACCACCAGAGAGGCCCCAGCTGCTTTATTTTTGAAGGGCATTTCCAAATTGCAGACACGCACATCCATCCCAGTGGTGACTTGACTCTTCTCTCTCCACCAGATCGACTTCGTGGCTCATGATGACATCCCCTATTCCTCAGCTGGCTCTGATGACGTATACAAGCATATAAAGGAAGCAGGTGAGGAGTTGGGCTGTGCTCACCTGTCCACTGTGTTTACAATAACCAGGTTTAATGAGGGACATCTTCCCTAGGCCTGCAGCCAATACATACAGGGGTTGGAACTTGAGATGTCTCCTAAGGAGTTTCTACAAGCTTCTGCTGACATGGGCTAAGGCTCAGTCCCCCCCCCCCCCAGATCCCCATCAGTTATTTACTTAGGAAAAAACTGAAGCACCAAAGTACTCAACTTCTGATTACAGGCTTGATTTTAGGGTTCATCAGACTAAAATCACAAGATCTATTGTTTAAAGGACATTTTCCTCATTAAGAATGAAATTAGGGGCCTCCCTGGTGGCGCAGTGCTTGAACACTGGGTTGCGAAGCTGCCTGCAGCCTCTGCAGCGCCGGTTCGATCCCTGGCCGCTGGGTGAGGGTCCCACATGGTGCGCAGACCCCTCCTGCCGCCCGCTGCTCCCCTCAGCAGTGTACTTCGTTGGTCTGCCTGTCCTGCTCTCCGCTCTGGCTCTGGTGAATTCTCTCACCCTCCCGCGCCTCTGACTGTACCCAGTGCTTGTATCCTTAAATAAATAAATAAATAAATCTTTAAAAAAAAAAAAAAAAAGAATGAAATTAGTTGATACTCCCAACAAAGTTCCTTCCAGAAGACAACTGGCTTATTAATCATCTGGACTTTTGCTCCAAAGTCTGTCCTGTCATATGTTATATGTCATCCTGTGATGTGATAGCAATACCCACAGATACCACATGCAGAGGCAAAAAAAGGGGGGGCCTCTAAATATTTGTGGAATCAGGTAAAATATTTTCTTCCTGAAACTGTTAAGTGATTTTGTGGCTATTAGATGCGGTGTCTGAGCTTTGGAAGCTGTCTCTTTGGTCACTAAGCATTCCTGTTAAGGTCAGAGACTCTGGTCAGCCTCAGGGAGCTGTTGGGGGCCAGGAAAGAGGGGTTTCTTTGCATTGCAGGCTCCCTGGAGTTATATCTTTTATCCAGTTCTCTGTTCTTGCCCTTGCGCTGATGACGACCCCAGGGAGCTGGCTGTTGGGGCATGACCGCCCCTGACCTGTGGTTTCTAGTCCCACTGGGACCCTCAGTGCTCCTTTCACCTCCCCCTCTTCCCCCTCCTGCCCTGATTTACCCATAGTTCTTTGCATCCTTACCTCCTCTCTTGATTCCTGAGGAAGAGGGCTTTTCTGCCCCACGCTAGTCTCTGTCTGGACCTACCTTCTAGGGCCCATATTAATTTTTCTTCTCTTTGCTATCCAGGGTTCTCACTCTCAAGTAGTTTTTTCTTAGCTTATGAACATGTGCAAGTATATAAACACAAAAACCAAGCCCAGATCCTTCCTTCTGTCCTCCCTCCTGCCTCCAGTCACATCCTTGCTCAGTCTCCCTCCCTGTCATTCCTCAGCCACCTGCACTCTAACCTCTGTCCCATCCTCCCTCAGATCTCTGATAACCTACGAAATGCCACAACCAGTGGCCTCCATTCAGGCTTCTGGGCTAGCCCTTCTTTCTTAGACACTCTTGTCCTCCATTTCTGGGACACTTCTGAGACCTTCTAGTTTCCTTTCAGTCTCTTTGACTGCTCCTGAGTTTTGTTAACAGGTTTTCCTCCCTTGGCCCGGCCCAGCCTCTCCATCTTGCCAGCCTCAGCTCTGCATCGCATTCCACAGGCCCTAGATTCCAGACACCTGGGGTTCATCCTGGTTCTCAGACATGACCCCACTTAGTTAGTGCCTTTGCTCTTGCTGTTCTCTGGGCTTACAATGCCTTTCTTTGATCTTCTATTCCAGTTCCAGGCCCAAGTGCGGAATAGGCCCTCACCCCTTGGCCATAATTCCACACCCCCATTCTACTTCCACCCTCTTCAGACACTCTTTGCCCGTGGCCCCCTTTCAGCATCCTTTTTCTTGGCATCCTGAGTGTGTGTGTGTCTCTAGCCAGAAGTGCTAAGACACAGCCATGTCTTGTCTGTCTTTGTACCTCCAGCGTCGTCCTTGGTATATGTGCAGTGCTCGTGAACTGCTGGCTGAGTGACAGTGCTCTTTTTTTTTTAAAAAAGATTTATTTATTTTTATATAAGAGCTGGGGTACAGGCCAGAGGTGTGGGGGCAGGTGAGAGGATTCACCAGAGACAGAGTGGGGAACACAACAGGCAGACTGATGAAATACACTGCTAAGGGGAGCAGCGGGCAAGACAGGAGAGGTCTGCTCGCCATGTGGGAATCTCCCTGGCCGGCCAGGAATTGAGCCTGTGCTGCAGAGGCTGCAGATGACTTCACAGCGCTACGCTCAACCCGCTGTGCTACCAGGGAGGCCCCTGAGTTTCAGTGCTCTTATGGGGTGGGATGGGAGTTACCTTGACATGGGACCCTCTGCCAGCTAGGGCTCTTCCCCCCACACAGGGATTGGAGCCGTTTACGTGGATAATATGTACACATGCTTCTGCCTTCTGGAACTTTTCGCATTATTTAGCTATAAGGGGTAATGCTTTGATCCAAATTACATGTACGTTTGGACTCATTTTGTTTGCTTTCCATTGGTATCTTGGCTCTGAGTCCCTCACACCTGCGTGTGAACGAGAGGCTAACTGCCCGCGCTGAATTACACCACACAGCACTGCCTCACAGCCCAAGACAATTCAGTGAGAGACACAAGGGCTTGTTTCAAATATGCCTATGGTCTGACTGAGATACTTTATTTTTTTTAAAGATTTTTATTTATGCATACAAGAGCTGGGGTACAGGCCAGAGATGCGGGGGGTGAGAGGACTCACCAGAGACAGAGTGGGGAGCAGAACAGGCAGACTGACTGAAATACACTGCCGAGGGGAGTAGCGGGCAAGGCAGGAGAGGTCTGCCTCGCCATGTGGGTTGCTCCCTGGCCGGCCGGGGATTGAACTCGTGCTACAGAGGCTGCGGACAGCTTCACAGAGCAGTGCTTAACCCCTTGAGCCACCAGGGAGGCCCTGACTGAGATACTTTAAAAAGATATCTATGAATTTGCATTTTTCTTCCTCTGTAACAGGTGAGAGAATATAAATCACAAATTACGGCTGCTCTTTTAGGCAAATGTATATTGGGAAAATCATTCTCAGTCAGTATCACCATGTTTCAAATAATTACCCAAGAATTAAAACAATCATTGCTGGGAATTTTGAAATATCCCACCTCTCCAGGTTATATCCCTTTGGATTACTTAAAAAGACAGATGGGGAGAAGCTAATTACTTCCTTCCACTTATAAGGTCAGGTGGTTTTTCTGCCCCTAACAATGGCGATGTCTAAGATGGAGGATGGGGCGGTGGAGTAACTACTCAACTACTCACCTTCTCTCTCCCTTCCTTCATCAGAACGCCTTCTGCAAATGCCCATAAACCCATTGCAGCATGACACTCTTGGAGCAGGGAGAGTTTGAGAGAGGGATGGGCTAGTTCGTATTTCATCGAAAGGTAGATGCAGAAGTCAATTTTTTTTAAAGGAATTTTTTTTATATAGAGAGGCATGTTTTATTTATTTATTTGTTTGTTTGTTTGTTTTGTTTATACAAGCACTGGGTACAGTCAGAAGCGCGGGAGGGTGAGAGAATTCACCAGAACCAGAGCGGGGAGCAGAGCAGGCAGAAGGACCGAGGTACACTGCTGGGGGGAGCAGCGGGCGGCAGGAGAGGTCTGCGCGCCATGCGGGACCCTCCTCCGGTGGCTGGGGAGCAGCCGGGGATCGAACTGGCACTGCAGAGGCCGCGGGCAGCTTCGCAACCCAGTGCTCAACCGCTGCGCCACCGGGGAGGCCCAGAAGTCAATTTTTAATGGCTTGGTTTATTTTGTGCTATTTTAGTTTCTACCACACATTCCGTGTGGCGGCAGTGGGGTGCATCTGTATATACCTTCCCGCAGGAGGGCAGCCCTGCCTGGCACAGTACAGGTACTCTAGTGCCACCATAAAGATTGATTTATTTATGCATACAAGAGCTGTGGTACAGGCCAGAGGTATAGCGGGTGAGAGGATTCACCAGAGACAGAGGGGGGAACAGAACAGGCAGATCGACCGAAGTACACTGCTGAGGGGAGCAGCAGGAAGACAGGAGAGGTCTGCTGCGCTATGTGGATTGCTCCCTGGCCAGCCAGGGATTCGAACTCATGCTGCAGAGGCTGTGGACAGCTTCATAGGTTGCATCTTAACCCCTTGTGCCACCAGGTAGGCCCTGGGATGTGGTTCTTGATGACCTTTTTGTTGTACGCTATCAAGACCTGCTCAGCCACCACCTGTAGCTACCAGCACCCCACCCCCCACCCTCTGACCCTCAACTACTGCCCCCTTTGGCCTGTCCTGCCATTGCTCCTGCTGTAGACTCCCTCCCCTGCGCTCAGGTGTGCCACCCAATACTGCTGCTGCTCTGACTCCTCAGCTTCCTTCAGTATTCCTTGAGAGGGTCCCTGGGAGCTTTGAAGATGTTCCCCATAACTTGGAAGCATGGCAGTGGTAGGGAGCCGTGTCAGGCCCAGTGATTGGCCTGCCATGAAGAAGGCTTGACACAGACTTCCCCATGTTGGCACTGGGACCTCTATGGGACCGTCTCCTCCTAAAGTTCCTGGAGGTAAACAGGGTGCCAGCACCTCTGTTATGGGCTTTCTAAGGGTGTCTCTTTCCTGCCTCTGGCCCTGGGCTTTGAACCTGAGTGGGGTCAGGGGCCAGGCGTGCTCCTGTTCTCTAGCCACTGCCGCTCACTTCCTGATCCTCTCTGGTTTCTTTCCCTCCACCCCAGAGGGGCTTTTCTTCTTCCTGGAGGACAGGCACCTGGCCCTTTGTTAACGTCACATCTGTCCCACTTCAGGGCTTACAATAAAACCTCCCGTACTGAGTCCACTCAGGATCTGGTTCTTAATAAGTCAAAGAACACTTCTAGGATTTCGAAAGCTCTTTTTGCTCCTCAAAGCCTGACTCTTTGAAGCGAAAGCCTTATTTTTCATAACTGTTCTTTGTGAAATGAGTCTTCAA